AACAATGCTTTTCTCATGCACAAAGAATTCCTGTCTCTTATACACATCTAGATGTGTATAAGAGACAGGCCCAGAATGCCTCAAATGTTATGTTCGGGCGTCTAGAACACAAAAATTTCGCGGGGCCATGCCCCGGACCCCCTACGACAGTGTTGTCTCAATCAGCCCAACTTTCGGCCCCCCTTTCGGCCCCCCCTTTTGGACATTTCTGGATCCGCCCCTGCATGGTACTCATTCCAAATTTAAAGAACATTCATGCACACTCCCTCTAACTCGACATAAATTTAGGTCCTAGATCCCCACCGTGCCGCCACCAGTGGATGATGAAAAATCAGCCTCTGATATTAATCAATTTTATTGAAACCTAAACTATAATCATGATTGGATAAAATATGGCATACCTGAACTTGTGTCTTGTACGATGGAGAAAGTCTTAAAAATGAACTGCGTTTTTCATTGTTTTCTGTTAGTATTGAAGAAGTGGTTTCGTAGGATATCATCGGAATGTTTTGATAAGAGAGGAGAGGAGCCGTCGCTTGAGCAACATCATCAGACAACGGGCCAATTATACCTGGATTGGAAATATAAGGGAAACAAGCCACAGTTAAAAAGTGCATTATGTGTAATACCATTTCTCAACAATACAATTCTAGTGCGAAATTAGGGCTAATAGGAAATGGCAATTTCCGAGAAAAGGCTTACCTGGTCTTAAGATGACGTCCCTGCACAGCGTTCCATTCGGATGGTATAATGGATTGTCGATGTAACTGAGCACGCTCTGAAGTCCTACTGCAGGGGATGAACATGAATCAAATGCTTCTAAACCTGATGGTGAAGAACATATTCACTTAGACGCTAAGCTCTGTGATTTAAGTATGATAACCACATTGCATGACAGAATGACGAGCTTGATTTGGCCAAACATAGGCACTTTGCTGGGGCTGACGTCACAAAATACATAATACTCTGAAGAAGCTGAAGACTAACTTTTTACGTGTTATTGGATTCATTACTATATGAATTTAGACCAAATTTACTTCACATGGATTTTGTGAGGAAGAGGACGTAAAATCACCATGAACGCTCAACTCACCTATAGTCACTCCAGGAATACGTGCGGCTTCGGGCAAGTTTTTGACGGCATATATGGCAGCTTCGACAAAAGCTATGTTTTCTGCTACCGATTCGCTGGAACAAAACCCATCTTCATTCTCCGAAAAAGGAAAGAGGAGTCCCAAGCGAATGTTGCCCTCAACAAGACCAAGCATTGGCGAGGTACACGTCTCGGATAAGGCAGAAAACGAGATAATCCCTAAGACTAATAATGTTATTTGATGTCTGAAATATACAATTAATTGAACATATATATTAGATAAGTAAAGGAAAAAGACGGCAAAATGTGGCCTGATGTAGGCCTAACTATATCAGAATGCAAACACGATAGGTGTATTATAACTACGTCAACGCACAACCAAACAGTTAACACTCAGGTATGACACACAATGCTTTTCTCATGCACAAAGAATTCTATCCACAAATGAACAAAAAGATTGAATTAAACGTGGCGGAACATAGCAAACATTATTATTGTCAACGTCAATTATTATTGATGCAAAAGTACAGGGCTTTTTTTTCAAATAAAAATTATTAAGCCTATAATATTGTAGTCTATCTTTTATATCATTGGCCAACCATTGTCATTCAGTCATTGTGTTACCAACATGAAACGGTCCATTGCTTTATCAAAATAGTTTTATTCCGATTATGATCAAAATGATAGGTCTAAATGTACGACTGCAATTATAGGCCTATTCTGATCATGATAAAATGATAGACCTAAAAGTACGACTGCAATTATATGCCTAGTTGTCTGATGATATTGCGATAAATGTAAAAGATATAGGCATATAATCTATTCTTGACACGGTAACATGGGATTAATGATCATGCGTAAATATTATGGATTATAGGCCTACAATGCCTATATAGGATTACACGTAAGGCAATAAAACTTCAGGTTTTCTACACTACTTTTACTAAACTAGATGAAAAACACTCATATTAATATGAGCTTATCACCACAATTTGATTAATTTTAGAAGATATCTGAAATCCCATATGTTTCACTTATACGCCTATATAACCATGGAAGTGAAAAACCACAGTGGTATGACTGACAATGCATCACGATTCATTAATTAATATTGTTCCAAAGATGGAGTCGTTAATAATCTATTATTTTAATTATTACGTCAAAAATAACACCATTCGTAATGAAACGGATGGCAATCTGAGGTATTTTACCCAATAACGTAAATAGCTTACGCCAGGCTCTTATTATTTACTATACAAGACCAGCGATACGTAAAGGTTTGTCAAAAAAGCAGTATTTGAAAATGAAACTATTCGATGTATTGAAATCGCCGGAACCAGATTCCTCATTGAATGGGAATGAGCCTAGGTACCAGCAATCTTGAAGGCAACATGGCTTATATAGGCATAAAGTCACATTATTCTATAATGATGTAATCACACATAATGAACTTACATGAATATAGTTTGACTACTCCCTGATGTCGAACCCATCTCGAAACTCGTCCTCCACCCTCGAAGCTAGGCTAAATCATATGGACCGTTACAAGTCAGTGCGATAACATAATAAGTGTGTATTAATAGTGCTTTCAATATTCTTTCATAGCATTGTTTTGATTCGACAATGCACAGCGTCGAGTTTTCGTAGGAGTTCTGCAGCTATACTCACAGTGGTGGAAGTATTGTCTTTCTATTGATCAGTACGCGGAACTAACTCTTTCAATCCAACACAAAGCTATGGTATTAAAATATTCTCTTGTTTATATATATATTAATGTCAGAAATAAAAAAACAGAAATTCAGCATAAATATTACATTTACCTAGAATTAACTTATAAAACGTTCTTTTTTTTACACACAATATAGGCCTATATACAGTATATATTTTTTTTTGACGAAAATGACAAAATGAAAATACGGTACGATATGCTATTTAAAATATCAGCATTATATGAAAACGTATTTATAACGACTATGGATAATACACAAAATTAATAATTAATGATTGTGACCTTCAAAGAAAAAAATTTTGAAAATATATTGTGTTATATATTAACATATATTAAAATATTTATAAAGTCTATTACTGTAAATAATAAATGAGATTATGAAGTTAAAATAAATTTTAATATCTTATTTGTTGGAATCGAAGATAAACCACAAGTACCCGTAATTAACAATTATTGACTGATGAATAACAATATATAAAAAAAATATTTATAAAAAAAAAAAACATTGTTGGGATGTAGAATTGATTTAAAATAATAATTCTATTAAAGATGGGCTCCGATATTTGCACAAATAAATACTGAAGATGAGTTGAAGATATTCATCTGGTTTGTAGATATATGAACAAGTTCAATGTTATCAAACCAAGTACTGTAATGAACTGACCTTAAGCCTGTTTGCCACTAGGCGAATATATTCGTGCAAATCGACAGCGTCGGTTCGCTTCCTGAGCTCTGATTGGTTGCGCATTTTTTCGCTTTGCAAAAACTCTAACACAAATGTGAATGCGCATGCGCATCAGCCGACGCTTTCGATTCGCGCGAATAAATTCGTCTAGTGGAAACCAGGCTTCACTGACAGTTTCGGAAAAAAAATCGGAAACAGCTAATAAAAATACAATAAATACACATTCATGTGATGATAAATGTTCACACAAACTTCGCAAAAAAGACAATTTAGATGACAATGTGCAATTTTAATCCTTTTATTTATTAATAATTTCTACAATCTATATTACAATTTAGCAATTTAATAGAATAGAGTAAAAATACATTAAAGTACTGATACCGAAAAATTCTGGCAAATTTTTAGATCATCATCAATACAATAGAAGATGGGAACATGTGAGGAAATTCTGGTGCATATCGGTACACTGGACCACAACAGTAACTGTGATAATTAGAGGAGACAGAGGCCACATGACACCATACCATCCAAATTACAAATTTCTTTATTAAATGGATTCAAAAAATTGTCACCATTTCTCTGCTTATTCCACTCCACCTCCCCCCACCCCATAGACCATTTATACAAATCTGTATCCATCCCTGCTAGACATGGTATTCACATATATATTTTGAGTGATTCATTTGAACATGGTCAACTAATAACAGAAGTCACGCCACACCATTGTCACACACACCAAAGAGTTCACCTTACCTAAGCCGATTTCAGAAATTGGGATAAAAATTTTGTGTAATAAGTACAAAACCAAAGCATTTGAATATCCAAATATATATAATATCATTAGATGAGTAAAATACACATCACTTCTTAGTCTGGTTAGCTACAGCACAAGGTGAAATATACCTAGATTATTTTTTTATTATCATTATTTTGTACATATTTACCCATTTATATTTCCAGACATATCCTTCTGGTTTTAATGTATTATCAATAATAACATGCACGAGTGATTTTAGCCAGACATAAGAATGACTGGGCCTTGTCATCATCAAGACCCCGACAGAAGAGTTTACACCCACCTCAGCCTCACCATGTTGGTGGCTGAGATTTTAAGAATAGGGTCGTTTAGATGCCCAAAACTGGCATTCTGAGTCCAAAAATGATTTTTCAAAGCAGTGTTCCCCAACAAAATGGTGTCTTCTAGAGATCAGTGGCATAATGATGAGGCCTGGGCCAATGGCATATATAGAGACATTTACCAGAATAGCAGCAAGAATTAAAAATTTCAGTGATGTAAAAACATTTTTACCACACAATCATATACATGCCCAAAAATATGTATCAAATTGAATTTTAAAATACAAAAGAATATGAAAGAGAATTACATATGTTAATAAATAATTAAATTAATCATATGATAATGTAAACAGAGCAATGTTATATATATATTAATTAATTATTTTGTACTTCTCAAAAGAAAGTTATTAATTTAAGCTATTTAATACTATTGTTATTACTTGTATTAATTGTTACTCAATTCAGTACATACAGACAGTAGCATCGCAGTATAGCTAGTGCACCAAATACAGTATATAAAATAATTTGACACCCCTGTGTATGTTAGCTTTTTCTGATTGGTAAAAACACTTTCTGCAACGACGGATTCAAAGTTCATTTCAAGTATAAGACAAATGGACTCAACCATGTTCCAACATAATGAATACAATAACTCATTCCCTTAAACCATACCAGATTACTTTGTTGTCTCAGGTATAAAACTCACTACTTATTACATATTGATATGTTTTTGTGATTAACCCAAAATCAACAAAAAATAAATAAAATAAAAGTTACATAATAAAAATTAAAAAGAAAATGTAAACCTATATAAATGATGGACTCAAATTTAAAATAAAATACCATCACTGTGGATAGAAAGATGTTGCTTGAGTGCTATAGTTGAGTGCAAGTGCAAGTCAATTTATTACAGTAGTGATAACAGGCAGTGCACTTTTGGTCCACACTCAGCCCGCAGTTGGTAAAGCCTTCCACACACACCAACTACCCACACAGGCAAGTCAAGCCCGCTGCACCCTTGCTCAGGGTTATAAACAGAAAATGACACTTTGCTTGTGCAGGCTCTACATGCTAGATTGCCTATATAACCTGTTTCGACTAAGCATATACTGTAGTATTATGATCTGTTCAGTCAGCTTGTGGTTGACAAGCCCCTGGTACTCAAAGTGCTTGTGGGCTGTATAAATTAGCATGCAAATATTTACAAAAAATTTTCCCACGTTTTTTTCTAAGTCCACTGCCTGCGATCAGTACTACTGGTCATATTCCATATTATTGTCTTTAAACATACCTTTAATAATACAAAACAAACAAACTAATACAAAAGAAATATTTTCAACTAATCTTTAACATCATTGTATTGATATTTTGAAGTTAAAGGCCTACTTAAATATTACGCTAATATGATTCTGTAATAATATAATTTCACTATTTATATGCTATTGCATTTATGTCTAATACTATATAGTAGTCATAAATTGGAGGTTTACACTTAATTCATGACAATGAATTAGACTGTTTTTGTGCCTTCAGGGCAGGTAGTGCTTATTGTTTCTCCTTTTGTTTTGTTTCTAGGTAACCATCTTGTATCATCAGCTGGAATAAATAATACTGTAATGATAAAATTCAGGAATTTCCACCTCAAGAGGTGAGTGATAATCTGCTCTGATATTCCTTTTTACATAAGCCTGGTTTCCATAAAAAATCGCTACACGCTATCGCCGACTCCTTTGGCAGTGCTGATTGGTCAGCTGAATCAGGGAGCGCTCCTGACTGTGTGACAGCTACGCAGCGCAAGAATTGCAGTGTGAAAACGCTGTAACGGCTGTGTAGCGATTAAATTAATTAATTGATTAAACCACATACACATTGTGGTTATACTCCATCAAGCTGCTATCAACTACAGATTTATAACGCACCATATTTTGGAAGAGATGTTTATACTCCTGGTCCCATTAATGCAGTACAATCTTCAGAAAAGAACCAGAATTTGTCTCAGGGTGTACTGTCCAACATACTACAAAGGGTAGCATTGGTGTCAGGAGGCATTGGAGGCTCAGCGCAAATTCACAATCTATACGCTTTCAACAAACTTCAAGGGCAAAGAGGTGTATCGTCCTATGGTTATTATTTCCCATCAATCTATTTATGGCTATTATTTTCCACAGACCTTCCTAACTCTTTGGTTTTCAATGATTTATTCCAAGGCTATGGATTCCAATGTATGTCCTATTGCTACAATTTCCCATGAATCTTTCTGTGTCTTTGGTTTCCCGTGCAACTTCTTGTGGCAATAAATTCCCATGAATTTTCTACACCTACAGTTTCCGATGTGTGAAATTCCATGATTCTTTTTCAAAGCTATGCTTTCTAATGTTTGAGTTTTTCTAACACGAAACTGGTGATTTACAACAAATTACGCTTAATTGGTGTATGACTTATGTGTAAGATTTGCAAAATATTGGTATCTGTGAATATGGTGGCATTTGAAGCTATCAAATATTGGTACTGAATGCACTTTGTCTTCAATTAAGCCACCTGAATTGATGCTTACATCTTGGCTGCCAGTTCCGCCGATGTCTGCCTGCTTTCTGCTCACTTAGTAGTAGTTAGATCCTGTCCCTCCACCTGGTGGCTTTAATAAATAGAAAATATAGCTTAAAATTTGACCAACAATTATGGGAAACACCTCCATATTGTAGAGAATTACCGTTAAACCTACTGATTGACACACAGTACCACACTTGTGATTCTCTAATATTTACCCACCTTAAATAATAATCTATAATGCACCTTTTCTTCTAAGCTCCGCCCCTTGGATATTGTTGCCAAGGTCCCAGAAAACAGCAGTGTAAAAACATACGCACACACAAACGTTTGTGGGACAACAAGTGTGTATGTAGGACATGTGCATATTCCTGGCGCTGAATGTTTTGATTGGTTAGTTGTTAAGATTGATCGAGACTCTGGAAAGTTTCATTATGATCCACTACTGCACTCTAATATTAATCCAGTTGAGTTACTATTAAATATCAAATTCTAGACTCAAGAGAGTAAGGGGAAATGGGTGACAACCACAGATGATGATGATAATTTGTACGACACAGCCCGACGCGATTTGTTGTCACGTTGGGTTTGTGAGAGTTTAATGCTGATGTGATAGGTCTGCGTGGGCACAACTAGTCTTGTGACAGAATAATAAACATGTTTATAATTCCCTCAGTGACCTAAATCGCATCGGGCTGCATTGTACAAGGTTGTCTATGATGGCCATAAGAGACAATCAACGTGGTAAAAATAATTAATGATAAATATGTGTGGTTATATCTTAGTAGGAGATTTACCTTTTTGACTTGCCTTGTTTGTGTGTTGTTTGCTGGATGTACCCTTCTGGGTCTTACTGGTAACTGTGTCTCATCACTTGGGTCAACGGTCATTTGTCTTGAGGTAACATGGTGGCTAGATTAAAAAAATGGAAATTGGAAATTCTTCAGAGAGTATTCTGACCTAGTGAGTCTAAACGACTGTCAACGGACGAATCCAACTCCCCCCCACCCCGTGAGCATTAGACGATGTGACGCCGTCTCCTGATTGACAGTGGCAGTCTGAATGGATCGTCATTAAAAACGATGCATTGCGCATGTGTCGTGGTGTTGCGTTCTCTATAGAATCGTGTCGGCTGACAACCATCATCTGAAGCCAGGCTTCAGGGACAAATTTTTAATTTCTACTTAAAGATGTATCATAAGAATGAGGATTTATGATGAACATTCAAAAAAAATAAAATGTATAAAAAAAAGTCTTGCCTTTCGTACCGCTTTATGCTCAGTTTCAATGTTACTTTTTACAGATGTTTAACATTCACAAGGGTTATTTAAACTGAAGATGTTAATTGAAACGCACATATGGTTTTTAGTTTATTTTTACAAGCCACAACAAGATTGTTGTCAGGCCACATGAGACCACACCTTCCCCACCTGTACTGTAGGTCTATGCATATTATTTTTTGTGTTGCATATTTGTCTGTCCACCTAGCAAGAGAGTAAAATTTAATGAAAGATATAATTGAGAAAAAAAAAAGGTGCCATACTTTGCCCTTGCCCTCCTTGCTCGCTGATCATGTGATTTGCGGTACCCTGGTTGGGTGTCGTCTTCATGCTGCTGGTTCCCTAATGATCTCTTTGGTTTTGTTCCATTAGCTGCAATGCTGGCTACTTGTTGTCGCTCAGTGAACATTCTAACTTGTTCGATGTGGTTTTCTGTGGAAGGCTTCTGGCCAATGTTGTTAGCAATATTGGCATACAAATCGGAGGGCTTCTTTTGAGGCTTGAAATGTTTCCTTTCAGCTATAAGAATAATTAAAATAGACAATTAAATCTTTTACTTAATCAATTGCTTTAAGACTCTAGTATGTTTGTTATCAAATGCAATTTAATTGTAAATATTAGCTGGCTCGATGCCAAAGCATTTAAAACTTGAATAAATTTTTACAATATGTACATTGCAATTATACAGTTTTTATTCCTTTACAGACGTTTTACTATAAAATGCTAAATTTTTTGATATTGTTAATTGGAGAGGAAACTATTTTCTGGAATTTTAAATTGAAACCTAATAACTTTAACTAGTTAATTATCTTAACAATAAGAGATTATAATCAAATATTTTATCCACAAAATACACAGGCTGAGATAGAGTGTACTGCATGCAAGAGTGACTTACGCTTTTTATCTTTCTTAGAATAGTTAGCAGGTATTTCACCCCTGTCAGCTGCTGTTGCTCCATTCTTATTGGCTGGTAGCGTACTTCTGTTGGCTGGTGCCACACTTCTATTGGCTGGAACTCCACCCCTGCTGGCTGGCGGTCCACTCCTGTTGGCAGGCTGGTGATGTGAAGAGCTGTTCTTCACCCTGGAACTCTGTTCTTGCCCAACCCGTGTAGCTAAGCATGCATAGGGATCCCTTTTTCCTTGTCTGCTGTTCTTTGAATCTAAGGAGAATTAAACATGCACAAAAATATAAGAACAACAACAGTAATAACAAGAGTAGCAACAACAATAATATTATTGCTAAGGGTGATTTCATCTGTGTAAATTTTAAAAACTTACCATAATAATATTCAGTTCATGTGAAAAAATGGCCTTGTCAATTTCTGGTCATCTTTCTTCTATCAGCTCATATGAAACACCTAACTTGTACCTGACTTGTTGTTTTACTTACATTTATGTTAATTCTATATATGATAG